AATTTATTACTTTAATAATTATTAAATGAGTAAAGAGTAGAAATTACCCTGCGTAGTATGTGTGTATGTAAAATATATTTTCTACCATTTTTTGTATCAATCTATTGATGAGCTTGAAAATCGCCTGGAAACACTGAGCATGCCCCCATTTCGTATTTCAGAAACACGATATGAAAAAGTTAATATAAATAATTTAATAATAATAATATAAAGACTTGATGAATGTAACCATTACTACGTGGTAGGAAATCGTAATGAAGAAAAGAGAAATTAAACTTTCTATGTTTTTTACCACTTTTATTTGTAACTAACGTTACTGCAGTTTCGTCCTATACGGACATTTTCAAACTTATACAAGTCAGCAATATCCATTACAGAAGTATTCACAATTTTATAATCTTTGTATGAACTATGTTATGTTATCATTTTAGTTTCACAAACTACACTTAAACGATAAGTGTAGTTTGTGAAATTACTATGGATCTTCATCAAGTAACGGCCGAATCAATCAGAAAATTATCATTTTAGATTAAATTGCACCTCCCCATCTTATTTCCTATGCACATATACTTGATCTTTTGTATGATTGCCCATTTATTCCCCTCCACCACTTTCCTTCTACACTGTGTCATATTTATGTACAAAAATGTAAAAGAAAAGGAAAAAACATATTATTATGAAGAAAAGAGGAATGAAACTGTCTATGTTTTTTACCACTTTTATTTGTAACTAACGTTACTGCAGTTTCGTCCTATACGGACATTTTCAAATTTATACAAGTCAGCAATATCCATCACAGAAGTATTCATAATGCCGCAAACCACATGATCAAATTTTTAACAATGAAACCGTAATGTACTTGAACTACAAAATATTGCGAATCAATCCACTATAGATGAAGAAGAAATCGCAGGAGAGGAACTTTTTATTATATAAGTTTGAAAATGTCCGTATAGGACGAAACTGCAGTAACGTTAGTTACAAATAAAAGTGGTAAAAAACATAAAAAGTTTTATTTCTCTTTCCTTCATTATGATTTCCAACCACGTAGTAACGGCTAAATTCATCAATTAATTGATTAATTAATCATCATCTTCATCACGAACGAGTCTCTGTGATCAGCTGTGATGGCGTCATGGCAACAGAATTCAGAGTGGGAAAGGAGTGAGAGATTAATAGATAGAGAAGAAGTGAAAAAGGAATAGAAACACGGAGAGAGAATTATAGGCATCACGCAGCTGCACGCATTAAACTTTCTCGACGAATTTTTGCTATTTCGGCTTGCGGAAATCGTCAGATTATATATTTTTCGATATCCTTGAATTATTTTCTTCCAAATGAAAAAAAAAAACTAAGCTACGCTCGAGAATGTCGGGATGACGTTTTTTTTACAACTTTGCTGCCCTCCCCTTTCTTTACGTCACTCTCAAATTGTCAGATTATTGGAATATACACTTTTTAGCATGTAATTAAGTCACCCTACCTTAATCTGACGCGCTCGAGAACTTCTGATGATCATTTTTTTTTACTAATCTGATCCTTTATCCTTCATGGGCGGCCTTATACAGTGTAACCCATTTTCAATGGAAACACCCCCCTAAAATTTGAAGTTGTAAATCCATTTTGATAATTTTTTTTTTAAATGTCAAGTACTAAAAGGTCTACCTTGGTACGAAATTTGAAATGTTCATTAAAGTTTCAGGGCATACTGCGATATTTTTTCTTAGTCGACAATCGGGATTTTTTATTAGCGATTTTTTTATTGAAAAAATCACTACGCCACTGGATTCAGAGTGCCTTTAAACTGGTGTGAACGAAATTTCATGAAAAAATATTCAATATTAACAAAGTTACGTTAATTCAAAAATTCAAAAACCCACTCAGCTAACAGCTACAAAAAACACCCTATATCAACAGATATAGCCATGAGAATATTTTTTTATGATTTCAACAATAAAGTGCCGCCAGATGAAAAAAAAAACAAATAGCGTAAATATTTTTAATGAAAATAACGGAATTATATTCAAGTTTTCACGCAAATTAACTAAAACTAAGACCTAATATTTCAATTTGAATCTTAGTTGCCATGGAAATGATATTACAGTTTGACANATTTAAAAAAAAATTATTTAAATCGGTTTACAACTTCAAATTTTAGGGGGGTGTTTCCATTAAAAATGGGTCACACTGTATATGGGGCTCATATTTGGTGGAGGTACTTAACCGGGTACAAGGTATCCCCCTGTATATTAATCTGCCGCGCTTCAGTAAATCCCGAAATCCCCGCTTGGGCTCCCCTATTATTATCGGTTGTTCTTCAGAATATGTAAAGGCTTCTGAACTACCTAATTTGATTATTAGCTGACATAGTAGGTATGAACGCTTGACTTCGATGTTCAGTTTGTCAGAACTTTTATCAGATTATAGCAGTGTTAACACCAGCAATATTCAAAATAACACAAAAAATTACAATTGACCATCGTTTGGTTGTTTGGTTCGACGTGTTACAGATTTGCCAGCACACATTTGGTCAAGTGTGTCGACTCCACACTTGTATACAGGGGTCGAAACAATTGAAGGTCACTATCTACGTACGAGTAGGTACGGACTCTCTGTGTCGGAGATCAAGATTTTTCAAATGATAGATTTCTATGTAAAACATCATTATAACTAGTATTTGAAAAATTAATTAGTGAAATCCCCATAAGACTTTGTAGTATTTTCCCAAAAAGTTTGGGAGATTGCAATAATCAATTTCTCGAATACTTACTAGTGCAACAGTTGTATTGGTCACAAATAATGTTTCATTAATAATAATTTAATATTGGATTTTAACAAACCGAATCTCCTACATTCTGGGGTAAGGGTTTGTGGGTTTCAAGCAAAGTCGCAATGTGCAACATTAGGCAATTTATAAATGTTGCACATTGAGACTGGTCTAAAACCCACAAACTCTAAACACAGAGTGCAGTCGGCTTCTCTGTTGCATGTATGGGCAATAAAAAAAAAAATAAAACGGCATTATTTAAAGACTTATTACAATATTTGTAATGAGGTAAAGTACAGGGACGGAGATTACATTTTCTTGAAGAATTTTGTTATTATTTGGGACTGTTTGGTTCTAACTTGGTTTTCGACGGTATCAAGCTTTTTGGCTGTACCTATTCATTGTCTCTGACCTTGCCTTTGCCGCAAGGTTGCTATAGCCGCAAGGTGGCGGCTATAGCAACCTCAGTTAAGTATTGTATTTTTAATGCCGTTTTTAGTTTCTTTTTTGCTTCCTCAAATAATTTGTCTTCTATTTTACATACAAATATTTAAATAAATTAGAGAGCTAGTTGCTGACATAAAAAAAGGCGAAGTTCAACTCAGTTAGCACAAGTGCTACTGAGTTGTTCTTCCAATTTTCTGATCATTATGCATTTTCGACAATGAAACGACAGATTTAATTTTTTTTAGTTACGAAGGAACAGATAGTTTTTTCTTGATTGTTTCCAAATGAACTTGATTCCACTCGATTATTCTAATTCGCTTTGAATTCTGAAAGAATTTGGGGTTTATTCATTTTCAATGTACCAAGTAGGTACTATATATAAGACTTCTTTTTGTCAATTCGTCACAAAATTCTATAGACAGAAACTAATTATCCACAACCACATTTTTATTAGTTACTTTAATTTCTGCAACAGGTTTTAAAACGGACTTGGTCGGAACCATAGTTTCATATGAATATAATAATCCTACAAAAGCATGGAGTTCGATTATATCTAAATCTTTCGTATATGTAGGTTGTGCTCTCTTGAATTTCAGTTTAGACTCTGGAATTTGTATGTTTGCATATTTCAGAACCTCATTCAATGTTTACTGAAACGAATAATTTCCGGACAATGTTTCCAGCTTGACCCTTTGCTCCTGGCAAACGCGGGGTATTATTGGCATAGCTTTGGACCATTTAAATCAATTTTTGTTTTTTTTTTTCATAAAAAATTGTTGATCTGCTGGTTCGGACGCACCAATTTCATTCTGTTAGTCAGTTGTTTCATTCAGATTATCCAAATTCAAATTTTCATATTCCAGAACTTCAGTATACGAGTTTTCTGAACCGGTATCAGTTTCAATATGAGATACTCAAAGTACATTCATCTTGAATTGCATCACTCTCTTCATCCGAATGAAAAAATTGAGTATTGTCTATTATTAAATACAATTCTGTATCTGACAGCTCAATATATAACACCAACACCTGTAACTAGTTTTATATGAGGGTATCTTCAAAAAACTAAATAAAATAGTAACTTACGCCTGAGAGTCACAGAGACTTTAACCAATACTTTTCGAAAGATATACTCACAATTGGGCGACAAAGATTCAGTTGCAACTGATATGATTGAGGATTATATAGACTACTGGGGAACCACCCGACCTCGCACGGGTGCAATGCATGGAGGAACAGTGATGACCAGATAATTTTGTTTTATGTACGCGCCTTTTTCCCCGTGACTGGCAGCCCAGTTGGAATATTTGAAAATCCTTTCTTATTGCACATGTACAACATAAAAAGAACCTACATATAAAATTCCAGCCTCCGAAAATATAGCGTTATGGAGAAACAGTGATGAAAAGGTAACTTCATTTTGAACGCGCTTTTTCCGCCGCGGCGACGCCCCAGTTGGAATATTTAAAAATCCTTTCTTATTGCTCATCTACAACATAAAACGAACCTACATACAAAATTTCAGCCTCCAAAAATATAGCGGTACGGGGAAACAGTGATGAAAAGATAATTTTCATATGTAAACGCAACCCATTTTAACTCTACGGGGAGAGTTGAAATATTAGAAAATCTTTTCTTGGTGTGCATCTAAGACCTAAGAAACACCTATATACCAAATTTCAGTTTCCTAGGACTTACCAGTAGGGAGAAACAGAGATGAATGAGTGTTTAATGACTTTCGCATTTATAAGTATAGATAAATACCATCTGAATAGTAATTAGATATCATTCACATTTCTAATTTGAAACATAAATGTTTTACAAACAAATGACATGTCATGATCAGGGAATGTCACTCTTCTATACAAAAATGTATTATTCTTAGTGTGCACAAAAGTTTTTTCTTGGTGACAATTAGAAACCATGGAAATTTTCCCCTTTCATCTTGAACCGAAAACTAGTGTAGGAAACCAATTCAATGAATCAATTATTTTCTGAAGATTGTCTTTCATTTTCATTCGTATTATTAGACAACTTTTTGCTTTGTTCGGAATTCCCTTCTTTTGATATGGTTGGACTTTCAATAATTTCCATAGCATCACTACCGTTTTTTATGTCAGACTCATTTGTAATGTCTTTTGGAGCGTTTTGATCTTTTTTTTCTGAAGTACTTTCTTCAATACATTCTTCGTCAGAAGATTGTTTATCATCATCATCTTCCGAAGATGGCGATGATTCACTTTTTAAGATTGTGTCAGTGTTTGGTTTTTTCTGTTTTCCTTTCTGTTTCTGTTTTTTCTTCAATCGTTTCATACGCTTTTTTGCGGTCCGCTCTTCAGCCTTCCTTTTATTATCCTCTAACTTCTCATGATACTCCTCTTCTAATCTATCCTAAAAATATAAGAATATTTAAGCAATAATATAAGTATATTCAATAAGAAAAAACAATTCACCAGATATATCTTCGAATCAAATCAACACATGAATGAATTTCAATGAATTTTATAGAAGTTTATTATTTGAAAACTGAAATTCAATGTACCTGAAAAATCAAAACTGACCTTTGGTTTGTAATTTGAAGAAATGTAACTCAAATGTAGTCTCAAGATGTGTAAAAAACTAAATACTTTCAATTAAAATTTTAATTGAAATTAATTAGTCCATGTTACATCAACATAATTCCATTAAAAATGTAACTTCACTACCTACGGTCGTGATGACACTTGTCTCAGATTTACACCATTACAGCTAGGCTACTAGACCCTCCACTGCAATCCGCAATGGTTTACTGTGGCTCATACATATTTGAACTCGACCAAAGAAATCCAGCTTCTTAACAAAATAATTACTTTATTTGATAAGTGATCTTTCAAGTGAGACACTAGACTGTATCAGATGCTGAAATCCTGATCCGTTCCTTGGCAGGTTAGCCACAGAGTATGTACTCTGACTATGTATTTAATTTTCAGTTTACTGTTGAAAGTACATTTTCATGAAATGTTTTTTTTCTTTTTTATAATTTTTTTTAACTATTATCAAGAAAGAAATTCAAGAACAAGCTTTCAGGGCCAGAGTCACAATAAACTTTTACTTTTACTTTTACTTTTTACTCCTACAAACACAATATTGAATTGTAATTAAAAGTAAGAGAGATAAAACTACAATAACAAAATAAGCTTAAGAACTACTAACTAAAATAAAACAGTAAATATAAAAGGAAACAAAAAAGAAATCAAATAAATCATCACAATTTTTAAAATGTATACAAGTACCTATAAATTAAGTTACCCAATACCTAGAAATTAATCCGGCTGTGAGAAAAAGTAGGCCCTTATCTCTTTGGCATTTGTTTTAGTAAAAAGATCCACGGTGCTATTTTCAGTTAAAATGTTGCAATGATTTAGCATACGGGTGATTGGCGAGTTATCAGAAAGGCCGATAAAGAATGTTCTCTTGTCCTGTCTACGCAGGTTTACCTTAGGCACCAACAATTTTACATAGTTGACCAGAGATGATCCCTTGTACTTTACATTATTAATTATATAGTATACAAAAAGAACATCCTGTAATGCACGTCTGCTCTGTAAAGTAACAATGTTAAATTCCTTGAGCATGCTTCTGTAAGACACCATAATGGGATAGCAGCCATAAATTTTGACATAAAGATATCTAAGAAATCTTTTTTGAACTTTTTCAATCAAATCTGCGTTGGTCTCTCCCTGTGGTGACCAAATAACAGAAGCATACTCAAGATGAGGTCTAACTAGAGCATTAAATAACTTTACAATACACCCAACATCTCTAAAGTTTTTTGTATTTCTAATAACAAAACCAAGAATCTTATAGGCTTTGTTGACAATATATTCATAGTGAGTGTTGAATTTGAGGTTACTTTGAAAATAAACACCTAAGTCCTTACACTCAGACTTACGCATAAGTGGAACTTTTCTACTTTGTAAGAAGCAGAAATATAGTTAATTTTCCTTGTGAATGTTATAAGTGAGCACTTATCGATATTTAAGAACATTTTGTTACTTTCAAACCACCTGCAAACAGAATCAAGATCTTCCTGCAATTTCATGCAGTCTTCTAGGCACGTTATTAGCTTAAACAGCTTAAAATCATCTGCGAATATAAGGCAAAATGATTGTAAAATGCAGTAAGCTAGGTCATTGATGAAAATTATGAAAAGAAGTGGGCCCAAGTTACTACCCTGTGGCACCCCAGATGTTACAGAAAACCTGTCAGATAATAACTGCCCCACCCTGACTTGCTGATATCTGTCAAGCAAATGAGATTTTATAAATTGCAGAGCTGCCTCAGAAAATCCAAAATCACCAAGTTTCTTTAATAGTATGTTATGATTAAAAGAGAACAAAATCCAGACTAGTAGGCCATGGTCGAATAGAACCTGAAGTGCCATATGCTTTGTCTGCTACTAGCAGCATATATCATCAGTGATATGTGCGTTTACTGCGAGGATGGAAGTTATATCACGAAGTCTCAGTAACGAATGATTTGTTTCAAAATCAAATTATTTGGATTAATTTCTGTTACACTTTTGAGATTTCCACTGGACAGTTTACACAACCGCAACACGTGTTTTGCTACATAACAGCTTCCTCAAGTGTTTTCATACTGTGAGTAACCTAACAAAAATCAGGGAAAATATAGTATGTGAGTATCAAGTTAAAATTGATGCTGGGTAGGTAAGTTAGAGGTTATGCAAAGAATTCGTCAATGGTGTAGAAGTTTCTGAATATCAGAAATCCTTTTGATTTAGTTTTCACTTTTTCAAGAAGCATCGCTTGGAAATACTCTTTTAATAGATTTTATTACATTATGTCAGGACGTATGTTCAAAAGATCTGTTTTTCGAGCATCAATGCTTCCGTATGGCTTTTCAGCCCTTGATAGAAACATGTGTTATTCATAATTTGTTTTTCTAAATTAAAATCTCTTTTCACAGGATCTCTTCAAGTTCAGCAAGTTCATCAGGATCTTCTGGTTTGCATCCTGTTACTACGTCTCAAACAGTATTACTGTCATCTGGAATTTCCACTCAGTTTGAGTAGAAGTAGTTGATTTGAGCTTGTTCCATTTTTATTTGCTACTTTCAATTGTCAATTGATAATACACAAAATGTCTGTCTACTGAAGATAACTCCTCTGTTTAAATGTTTTTATGCATTCACTGTGCTATACTAGACTAGAATTAATGTATTTTGACTGGGCCCATAACCTGTTGGAATTGAATTTGAGATACGTCGTTAGTTTCTATTTTCTTTATTCATTTTACTGTCACAGTAGAACTTTTTCAAAATACAATTCTGACAGCTACTGTTTATATTAATTGCTAAGGAACAACACTCAGACAAAAAAAGAACTATATTTACCATTGGAATTTCACAAGGTGAATCATTAATTTTCAGTGAATTCACGCCTGAGCATATATGTGAGTACAAGAGGTAAGTATTTACTGAAAATTTATGAAAAAAGCATGAATTCTTATGACCAAAAATTGTGACAGTTTTGACCTAAGATTTATGAATGACCCACTCTATACCTATTCTATATAATATGTACATCTGTAGGGAAATTCATCAAAATTTAAGATGGTTAGCTTTAATAGGTGTGTGTTGATTTGACATTTAATAACCCAAGGTAATAATATCAATCTAAAAAGTATGTATGTTTTCGCCATTGTATTGCTTGAGAAATAAATTTCAATAATTGATAATAGCTTCAAACCTTTTCAGCTTTCTCCTTCATATATTTCTGTCTTGCATATTCTTTCCTTCTAAGATGCCGATAAACATGGAATTCGCCAGAACCAGCACCTGCACTAGATCCCATTACATTTCTTACAAAATCTGGCACATTCGGAACCCCTTTTTCTTTTGGTTTCTCGGGAATAACAACAGGTTTTTCCTAACAAAATTTGAGTTTTTGATACATAATGTTTTTAAATAAGACGAGTAACATACTGGATTTCTCATTAATTTTTCCAATTTGAGTCGTTGAAGATCTGTAGAGTTTCTAACAATGATCGGTTTTTTCTCTTCCTCACTATCATTATCACTTTTGGAGTTTTTATGCATTATAAAAAAGTGAACCTGAAGAAAAAAATACACTTTTTAGAAAAAATTCGTAGGTATTACAAGAGACTGTTCCAGAAATTCATAATTTTCAAATAATCTAATGAAAAAATATAGGTATTTCATCTTCTCTATTATTGGGCTAGGTTTCGGCCTTTTGACACAGAATAATTTATTCTATGATAATTTCTAGCCGGACATTGACGTGCACAAAATTGCTCTGAGTACAACCGGTGAGCATTTTGCCGACATTCCTCATAAACTAATAACACATGAACTTTTGGTTTCTGTTATGAATTTGGGGCATTTTCAACCGATCTTTGTCAAAAATCTGATTTACAATAATATGTTCAATTATTAACTGACAATAACAGTTTGTCGAAATGTCATAATTTATTTGTAACTTACTCTTTTATCGAATGAAGACAACCACGAACATTTTTTACGGCGAGAGGGCGCTGAGGGGCATGATGTCAGTTGTCGTGGATCTTTCTTTATTCACATATAGATGAAATGAATTTATTTGAATTATGCAACGAAAATTTTAGAAATCTTCTGAAGAAGAGGGGTTGAAACAAACGACACTAAGGCGGAAAGTATTTAATGGTAACGTGATGAGTACTGCAGCCTAGCTACAGCTGACTGTGTGTTCTAACAGAAATAGTTGTGAATTTTATAGGTGTTACCTAAAGGTATTTTTGAAATCTCTGATTACTTAAAATAAGAAATGTGCGAATGGAAAATTACCAGGACTGAAATATTTTGTTGATCTAGTTAGAAAAGGGAATATTAAAGAATGAATAAAAACCTATTCGTCTTTATTTTTATTTTTTACATATTACTGACAAACTTATTATTCGATCCATGCAATTATCCCTTTTCATTTCAGTTCACAATGATTCGCTTACTTTACAAGTGAATGTTTGTGATTTTTTTTAAATGTCATATTCATTGTTAATTTTTTGTCTAATTTTCTACAAATCATTTCTTTTTGAACTTTATATTTCATTATTTAAATTTATTGGATTCAGAACATATAGGGCTGAAGGCTCATTCATGCTTATCCAACTACCTATTCGCAATTTTCTTGCGAATCGCATATTAACCATTCCATAGAGCGTGTTTACGCTAATAGTTTATCTAGTGTCAGTTGTTATTCTCATTCAATTATAAAAAAAAAACTCGTAATTAGTTATGTGTTTTCTTTATGATAAATAATATTATTGAATGTATTCAGTTTGGAAATGAAAATAAATAATCCAACATGTCTAGCTTGAGAGATACAGCCAGTCTTTTCGCTGGTGGTATAAATTCTGTAATATTGAACGACTGTACCAATATTGGCCTCATCATCAACAACAACTCGTCAAATTCAGAATGAAAGTTACACAAAAATAATTGAAATCAAACTTAAAATGAAATTGCTTAGTCAATAGTGGTCTTATCGTGAAATGTTATATCTATTCACTATCAGCCCTAAAAATAATATTGAATATGACTTCATTTCATTTTCTGTAATGTTTTTTTAAACGTGGTTAAGTGGAAGAATAGCATTATGCTACCCATCGTCACGTCGAATGAGGACCAGTCATTATAATCTTTTTTTTCTGTGAGGATCATATATCCTCCTATACCCGACGATGAGGTTGTGGTATCTGTTGAAAACAGTTTTCCCCTCACCTGAGCAAAAGTGCTGCCTCTCGACACGCGTTTTGCTAACTGAATATGAATAATCAGGAGATGATCGGACTACTCTTCTAACGACTATGTGGATGTTTTTATAAGTATATAGTCGAATCATTATCTGAAATAATGAGTGTCATTAAATTGAAGCCTATAGTAGATACCCTATTATTTGCCGCCTAATATCTAATCTTCACCTGTATTTTACCTGTAATTCCTTCGGTTTATCCCATAAAGATATGTTTCATTAGGTAAATGAAGCCGTTAGTAAAATAATAGGACATAGGACTATTCGTACATTGCGGAAAGGTATATTTGATATCGAATGAGAAGTTCGACATTGAAAGTTTTTCAATCGATGAATATAAAACGGAACACAAACACATTGCCATAATGAAGTCACTCTGAAACATCCCAATTGAACCTATCATTATATTCCAAGTTAGATTCCATATTACGTTAAGATTTACACATATCTATCCTTACAATGAAACTCAACAGGTAAGTACATGATAGTACAAACGTGTTACTTGAAACCACTGCCTAAAACAAGAAGTGATCCAAAATCACAGTGCTGTTTCGACCTGCTATAGGTCTTATCAGTATTGTTTGGCTGAACCAAGAATGTCTTGTTGAACCCAAATGTTCTTAAAAGACAAGCCTGAGTGAGCAGAGGCAATGCGAGATCTTTCCTATAATGAAGACATCATCTATGGGATCGACAGAAGACTCAATATAGGAATGTCAATGATAAACTAAGCTCCCAGCAATCATTCGCAACGCCAAGCTTTGAAATCGACCTCAGAACGATTATATTTTACTGCAAGGCAACTACTTGATATAAGTTCCCGAAAACAGAGTGTTCGTGATCCAAAACCAGACAGCTGTTTCGACCAGCTCTAGCTCTCATCAGTGATGCTAGACTTGTTCCATGACAGTCTAGCAATGCATTATAGTTCAGTCTAGCATCACTGATGAGACTTATGACAAGTCAAAACAGTGCTATGTGGTCTTTGATCACAAATGACTTGTTTTCGTAGCGACGTCATTAATAATAAGATTTGTCAGTCGTCAGAATTGAATGATTCAATTTGTGTTAGATGTCAAATTCAATAATAAAAACAAACTTTTCAATTTTCCCTGACCTCAATTGGAATCGGATTTATGATTACAATTTTTGCATAAATATTACAAATGTAGCTGCATATGGACCAACAAGGGAAGTGTTAAAATCGATATTCAAGTAATAATTTCCCAGCTTTATTTTGTACATCCTTACAACATATTTGATAAAGAGTTTCATTCACGACTGTTTTAATAATACTTCATTTCCATGAAGAAAATATGAAGCTGTAGGTATAGAAAACTGTCAACATAAACAATAAACATATAAAAGATAAAATGATGGATTGATATTTTTTTTAATATAAATATCAAATCTATTGGTACATGAGCATGAAGAAACATTCTCTCAGTTATCGCAAAGGTGCGATTTAGTTTCATCTTTATCATGAAAGAGGACGTATGTCTCCCCACTCACAACCGATTCTGGTGACGTGTGTGTGAATTGTTATATTTGTGCCACGTGCCAGTATAAGGGTGTCTGCAGTATGCTGTGTAATGCCCGCTGTCAGTAGTTCCACTGTGATTCAAAAGTGCATATAGAATTTATAGATTATAACAACAAGTAGCCACATTGTCTGTTGCATAATTGCTCTTTGCATCTCGAACACGACGGTTTCTCATCACCATCCAAAGTTTCTTCACTTGTGAGGGTATCCAAGCAATGTGATACATTTAATTGGTTATTTCTTTGTGGTATATGGGGAGACAAATCCCAGAAAGGGATCAAAGATTACTGATGAGTGTCTACAGTGTGTGCATTTAATCGTGGATTTTAATTGACCAACGAAATTATTTACAATCTTAAAGTTATACATCCTCATGGAAACCTTCTGGAAGGTAACGAAGGAACTCCTAGGCATCTTGATGGGTATGACCCATGCATCAAGGGGCGAAACTTTGACTTTTTAAAGAGACTGCATTTACTATAGTATCAAATGAATCTTCTGACCACAATTCCTTGATTACTTCATGTATTCCTCCCTTTTTAAATATTCCAATAACCATCATAAATATTAGATTAGACTATTCATGAAACAGATTTTGACTATATTTTTTGACCCATTAAGCCCAAGGGATTGAAGAATATATTACTGAACAATTCGAAAAGTCTTTGGAAATCATTTCAGAATTTTGCTGAGATGAAGTAATTTTTCGATTTATCTTTTATCCAAATTCATGAGAATGAGAAAGAAATGGCTCTTGAGTCGTCGGTTTCATTGGTTATTTTTTTTTCAAATTTCATTGATGAAATATAATGCTTCAAGACCAAAATCACCAAAATTTTTAACAAGGTATTGGGCGAAAAATATAATAATTTCCCAAATTCTGATATTTCCGTAGTTTGGAAATTTCGCCTGATGAGGCAGAAGCACTGGCTTTCGCATAACTAGCAGGAAGGTGGCAAGTTGTTAATGTATCTACCCAAGTAAAGTCCCAAACAACTGATTTACCATTTTTCCATGAAACGAGTGTCATACCATCTGGTCATTTTCGGTCGTCTCAACTTGTATCTATGAATTCCATAATCGCATTGCTGAAGTCAATGCCCTTTTGATCAGATCATTTATGACACAATGACGATATAAACGTCCAGCGCTAAAACGGCAGATCAACCCATATAAGTAACCTGATTCATCCACAAAGCATCACATTTACAAAAGTGTAGAACATACAGCGGTGTACCAAGTCGAAATCAAATTGCAAGTTTGAAAGAGTCATCATCCAGCAGAGTCCCAAGTGATGCTACAAGAATAGCATTTATTCAAGTACCAGATTCTTTCGCAGAAACTGCGAGAAGACGAACCTTATTTTTTAAAGTGTCAGAAGCTGTCTTCAGTAGAATACTATAGTTGCTTGATCTAATAATGGTTTATCCCATGCCCTCTAATTTTTCATGTCTTAAATTTTTACTGTTTGTCCAGTTCTGGCTTCCCAAATAAATTTGTGTCGATCAAAAATACAATCAGATATTGACTTTGGGTATTGTAAAATAGTTTATATCAAATTTGAAACACTGCAAAATGGGGACAGAAATGATGGCAAAGCGAGAGAAGTGGCTGAATGAATTCCTAACCCTCCTCTAGAAACTGGGAGTGATGCCTGTAACCAAGTTTCATCTTCGATACGGTTATTGGTGATGAGTTCCAGCATCCTTCTTAATTCGTCATCGATAGCAGGGTAGTAGTAGGATAGTAGGGCTGCATCTCAAAATATAAGATAACTTTCGAATGGCCAATGAATTCTTCAATGAGTGGAATGCGTCATGTGTTGGTAAAGTTCACATTTCTCGAAATCGAGCTCAAGTCCCAGGTCTTTCGAATGACTTATTTTGTTATGAAAATTTTCCAATACCACATCTGCTTTGTCACCTATTGATCCACCAGCTGTTGAATTCAGTGGATATTTTAGTTAAGATTAGGGATAGAAAGACAGAAAAGTACTGGTCCGAGTGGATCTCCCTGTTGTATTTCTTGTTCGGACATTATAATTTCATTACCAAATATTAAGAAAAAAAGTTTACTGTAACATTAAAAAAAAGGTATATTTCTGGTATGATGTTGGCAACTGCATGTAACATAAAATTACTGTCTATATTATTGAATGCATTCTTGAAATCAAGTTTCAGAAAAACGTTTCCAACTGGGTAAGGGTTTTGGTAGATCTCTCGTAAATTGAAACAAATAAGTTTCGCTACTAAACGTCGATAAAAATTTCCAACAGCTATAGGACGTAGGCCGCCAGTCTTTTTTTTGAGGCACGTAAAGAAGCATCGTATAAAATAGGACGTATGTCTTGTTTGACCTTTCCAGAAAGTAGCATATTGCAAAGGTTCGTTAAAGAATTCAGAAGATGGTCGCCACAACTACTCGAACTATAGCTAAGCATATCTTGAATATGGGAAGGTTGCAATGAATCAAGACCTCCAGAAGAACTAGTGCGAAAAGATCTAACCGCTCTGAGAACATCGGCGTTCTTAACTTTTAGAGGACCATGAGAAGTTGTATACTGTCCAGATTTGTATAAAATTTGCAAAGATGGATGTTAACTTCGTAATTCTTTCAATGTTGCAGCATTAAATTCACAGGTCTATCAGAAGAACAAATAAATCTAATAGCTGCTGCTAAATTACTATCAGAAACTTTCGAAATTAGGTACCTACTTGTTTTTTGAGGTTGTCCTCATAATTTTTATGTTTAATAGAATTTTTGGCATAACAATTAGTTGATTTTATAATGTTATTAAAACTACCCAAATTTCTCTTCAATATTGTTGTGATTGAAATTTTTCGATTATCTTCAGTTCTGTGAATATTGAAACTTTTATAAGCCAACATTATTCATGGCAGTTATAAATGAGTCATTAATCACTGCTGTCAGATGCTTCTTTGATTTAGCTAAAATATAAAATTGTTTTGCTATAAACAATCGGTTTTAAAAATGTTATCGTGTAAACCACCAAATATAATTTCAATTCAGATCTGTACCTACCTATAAAAAAAATGGATAAAAAGTGAATTTTCACCATGAATATGTTTCAAATCATAGTTGATGTGACGTCATTGTTTCAATGACGTCATTTTTGATCACAGACGAATATGTTTTCAATACATGACCGCTAGCAAACGCCTTTTGCTTTGTATCGAACCGCCTTTGAGAGGCAGTCGTCGATCATCATTGAGATTCACGGATTGAGTTCTCTGTCGATCTCATAAATGGTGTCGTCGTAAAGGGAAATGTCAACGTCCTCACTCAAAATTACGACTTCAAACTTGAAATTTCGACTTTAATATCGAAATTTCGAGTTTAAAGTCGGAATTTCCAAAGAACAAATGATGAAAATATGTAGACCTTTTGCGCTTTCGTAGATTTGATATGACACTGACTTAAAATATTATTTCATGTTATGAAGTGTACAATTGCCTGAATTTCCCGATTTCTTATGATTACTTTTGTAAATCAAAATAACTTGATTTTACATCTGTAGATTCTCTCTAGTGATATTGGATGCATTGTTTGCAACTGTTCATTTCAGATCTGTCAGACTAGCTACTGGTTATTCGTACTCTCTCCTAGATCAAAAAATGTCAAACAAGTCAAATGTCAACTCAGTCAGGAATGAAATTAGCGGAAACAAAACGCACTTTTTAATGTCATATGTAGAATGGCACATAGTGAGACAGTGATTTGGTTCCATTTAAAAAAAATATGTAGGTAGGTAACTTTTGTTTATATATTTTGATTTATAATACAAATCTGAATTTCCCTTTCATTAATATTGAAATGCTCACTTCTCTTTTACGTCTATCATTAGTTTCTTCATGGTTTATATTGTTTCTTGAATATTCTGCAGATTGACACCTCACACTTTTTTCGTGGTAACCTCAAATATTTGTTTTTTATCACTGATGAGACTTATGACAAGTCAAAACAGTGCTATGTGGTCTTTGATCACAAATGACTTGTTTTCGTAGCGACGTCATTAATAATAAGATTCGTCAGTCGTCAGAATTGAATGATTCAATTTGTGTTAGATGTCAAATATTTGTTTTTGTAGAAAAATAATAGTATTGGCAACATCATTTATTGAGATCAATAATTGATCACTAATTTACCCATGATCTTTATAATTTCGCTTAGTATTTTGAATCATAGATCATTAAATTATAAAATACTAATATTAAAACTCTAGACCCAAATGTATTTTGTTTGAGAGACACGGAGCAGTGATTTATTCTTTCATGGTAGGTAGTCGTGTCCCCTGTCCTTTGAATTTGTTTCTGACTGGTTGCCTGATCAAATTTATAATTCCAAGTTCCATGCGCAGTTGGCGCAGTTTGTGTTTTATTGGCAACTGGCAGTTCGTGGATTGAAAGTGTAGTGGACGTTTTTGTTCTGAGAACTGTTCGAATTTTATTGAATTTGTGAAAACTGTGACTCATTCGCCAATCTCCTCTATAAACTGTGAGTATATTTATTATAAACTTGTGTTATATCTAACAAGACATCGAAAACTATATAATGCAGTAACAAAAGTATTCAGCAAAATGGCCGATATCGATTTTATCTTCGGGTCACAAAAATTCATCCTATTAAAAACCTTTCAGAGGGATCAAGACTGAATAAAAATAATGTCATATCAGATGTGATAACTAAACGTCAAAATTCGCTTCCATATTACGAAACTATCATTCTAAATTAAATTTAGATGTGACAGTTACATTTATTTGTTGTTCTATAAAAGCCTGAATAATTCATAAGTTATATTCCCATCGATATCTTCTAACTATTGGTAACTCAGATGACATGGCATGTGCTTACCATCATTATATTCGAAACTCCGAGGGTTAATCTATTTGGGCATTGAGAATACTGTTATTTTTCCAATCTCTAATCTGATTAACTGGGATGATGATGAAGGAATAAAGTTCACTGGAGTCTCAAGAATAATTACATAGACAATTTGGTTTCATGGGTTTTCACTTCCAAGAAGTCAAAAACTTCAAAATAAATGAACAAGGACAAATTGCTAAATATGCCCAGAAATGGTTCTTTATTCAAATAAACTTCAGGTAGGGATTTATNGGAAATCACACATTGTGAAATGAAGTTTTATGGCTTTCTCTTCTCCATAAAAAAAATTGTGGGAAACTTCCAAAGGCAGGAAGAAAGCAATCAGGTTCAATAATGTTATGGCTGAAATGAGTTCTTCTTCTTGTAATATTATTCAGAACGTTAACAGAAACTTAAGTCCAATCGTCTCTGAAAGAGCCCAGGAGAGTCAAGACCAAAGAAGCACGTCAAGTTTGATAAGGTTAAGCTTTTACTCACTGTTTTCTTCGATTACCGTGGCGTAATGCATCAGGAGTTCTTGCCACATTGTCATACAGTCAATAAGGAGTATTAACTTCAAGATATGCGGCGCTTGTGAGAAGCAATATGAAGAATGACTTTTGCATCACGAAAATGCACCTGCTCACTCGTCATTGCTACTTCATTTTTTTTGGCCAAAAACAATACTGTAATCATGCCTCAGTCGCCGTATTCACCAGATTCGCCCCCCTGCGACTTTTTCCTGTTCTTAAGATTGAAGAGATCCATGAAAGGATGGCGTTTTGGAGAAGAATGAAAATTCACCTTATTTTTTAAACACAACTCGGCACAAGAGTAGCAAGAAATGTTTATTTTATATTATTACATCACACCTAAGTCAAGAAATCTTCAGAATGAATCCCACAGTTGTGGGACTCTAATGATAAGGATATGAAGTGTTCAAGATTGGTGTACTGCCTTCAATATTTCAATAATCCCAATTGAATGACGTTTTTTTGGTGTCAAATTTAATGAAAAATACATTACTATGACTGAAGATCCTTTGTATTTGATAAAGAATTCAAGTCATCTTGTGAAAAAAAAAATTAATCGTTGGAATATTTCTAATAAATGTTTTAAGTATTTGGATTTGTCAAGTCCTACTATGATACTTTCTTCTGGGGTGCATGCTTATCTAAGATGGATTCTGATTGATAATTAGTTTTCTAATATCACAGTTGACTAAGCAACCTGATATTGGTATATCTCTTTACGGGGTGAATGTGCACAGTTTTTATCTAAGATGTTTTTTATCGATGAGATGAGGTACTGAGTTTTTCATAAAGTTAGAATGGGGTAATCAACTTTCTGAATTTCATAAGAGTTTGGTGCTTTCGTCAGAGGTTGAGTCATGTTTGAAGATCATCAGTCTTATGATATCTCAATATTTAGCAAGATGAGATTTTCATTAACAGGGATGAATATATTTAGGAAAAATATTTCAGATGTAAAAAGAGTTTCTAAATTGTACTTTAAGAAAATGGTTAACGAATTTGATAAAATCTAATCCAGTCTAGCTAGCAGAACCATTTATTTTCCGGCCATAATTTCAGACTAATTGATTGATCAGACTACTCTTTAACTTCAGGCTGATTTTGGACTCCATTTGATGAAATTAAAGTTAAAAAAGAACTATTTTCTATAGTATGTTCAAATGAGCTCGTTTCATCAAATATGTAGTCGGCAAGATAGCACAGAAACGAAATATTATTATTCTGCACCTGCTCCCTTATCATTGGGAACTCAATCCCATTCAACTTGTTTGGGCTTCGTTTCAAGAAAAAATATCACAGTTGAAATAAAAGATGTGAAAATACTCTTTGAGGCCTTAAAAAATGTCTATTCCGAAAAAATGGCGAAAATGTATTGAACATGTTATAAAAGAAGAGTACAACATGTGGAAAATAGACTTATTAGTTGTGGAAATTGTAAAACCTTCTTTCTTAACATTCGACGATGATAATACACCATAATTTATACCTAGAAACATGTTATAAACCGGCCTATACCAGCTGTGACAAATCTTAACGTGTGTTTGAGCACTCTCTTACCTTGCATTCATCATGATCATTTATTTCTCTTTACTATAGGGAAACAAAGTATATCTTTTTTTAGATGGTCGATGTTTCGAAAAATAATCCATTTTTCGTTTCCAAAATCCAAAATCTACTTGAAATAAATAGCTTTATATTAGGTTGTTTCAAAAGTTATGCTCGTTTATATGAGTATACTTCAAACTGAATCGAAATAAGCGCCATTTGAATCGGTACATTTATTCCGCCTGCTCGGGATTCGATGAAGTCAACGAATGCCGTTTTTTCCTGATCCTGATTGGCGAAACTTCTTCCGGTGAGAAAAAAATCGATTTATTTCCAAAAGGAGACCCAGTTACAGAAAATGCTATTATTACAGAGTATATATGTAATAAATATTAGAAATAATGGAATACAGAATTATAGAAATGTATAGAAAAGTAAATGCTAAAACAAAGTATATATAAAATATTCGTATAAGTATAATTTCAAAAGAGGAATGGAAAATTGAGTATATAACACAAAAAGTTACAAATCATGCAATGTAGCAGTGCTGACACAAATGTTATTTATAGTATTATCAAAAGTGATTGTGGATTCGAAATACCAAGGCGTTCAGAGAGTCGAAATGAATATCGCAGTGTTTACAAATTTTATTGAAGCTACTGCACATAAAATTCAATGGTGATCGTAGCATAACATTTGTGCGTGATGCTTCGCAATATAATTTCATATTGTGTCGACCTTCACTACTTGGTACTAAGAAATTGATCTATTAAGAAAGAACCGTACTGTCAATATTGTTGTTAAGTAATTTATGCAGGAATTTTATACCAAAGATAACTCTCCTATTTTCCAAAGATGTCATATAAAATCGTGTTTCTACAAAATGTTATGATGCCTCTCATGGGGTATTAACCATCAACTTTTAGAGATAAGTATTTTAGGAACTTCCTTTACACGCTCTCAATTGATGTTTTTTGGTAGTCGTAAACTGGATTCCATAGCACAGAGCCATACTCTAACTTATATCTGGCATACGCAAAATATAGCAATGTTAAGGACTTGAAGTTTTTGCCATTTCTGTAAATGAATCCAAGCATCCTATTTGTATCAGCAGTCATATTCCTATATGTGTTGTAAAATGTTAATTTACTGTCGTATGTTAATACCAAGATCTTTTATCTCATGTATGCGGTTGATTGTAGTTTTGTTGATTGATTAATCGTACACTAAAGTTCGCCTTTTTGTTGTAAATGATATTATTTTACATTTTGATGGGTTCAATTGTAGACAATTATTATTACACCAAAGTTTGGTCACATCTAATTAATGTTGTACACGTTGGCAGTCAGTAATGACGTCGATATTATAATATAGTTTCAGGTCGTCTGTGAATAGTAGGCTAGAAATATTCAGAGAGGTTGCCAAGTCATTAATGAAAATTAAAAATAAAAAGAGGTCCAAGATTAGTACCTTGTGGTACCCCAGATGTAACTACGTACTGGGCTGATTTGAAAGATTCATATTCGAAGAATTTTTTTCTGTTATATCAAATCATTTATGATAGAATAAGCAACATAGGTATAAATTACTCAGATTTAAATGTAATCAGTTAGTTTTGAAAATGGTGTAATAGCCGAAACCGGTCAACAATAAAGAAATATAGTGGAAAATAGACAAAAGTGTGTTTTTAGTGTATCCTCAGTGAACATGGATTTCCACAAAATAAACAAGTCGTCAATCGAAGAAGTGACGTACAGAGATATTGATTTAAACATGCAAGATTTGTCATACATGATCTTTATTGTACGAAACCATGCTAAGTAGGAGAAATAACTTTTTGAATATGGGAATACATACCATTTTGCACACATATTTCGAAGAGCTTACAAAAGTTTGGCGGGAGGTCTGGGGAGAATGGTGGGTGAGGCAGAACTTCGTCGCTCAATTCGTTTAATTTTCGGACGGTGATTTGTGAAACGTGCGGACGGACGTTGTCGTAGAGCATGTTAGAACCTCTCCTGCTGGCCAGTGCCAGCTGCTGCTGACGCAATTTTCGAAACATTTCGTCGATTTCCTCACAACAAGACTGTGCTGTGATGGTTTGGTCCAGTTGTAGAAAGTTATAGTATATCACACCAGCCTCTGACCACCATAAAGTGACCATGTTTTTTTTTTGTTGGGTTTTCGCATTTGAGAAGTGCCTGAGTGGCTCATCGGTGTCCAACCACTGTCTCGAACGTCTCATGTTGACGTAGAGGATCCACTATTAATCACATGTAACGATCTAATTCAAAAACTGATCGTTTTGGTTGGGCAAAAGAAAGGAGAACAGACCTCAAAACGTGATAATTCCTGTCGATCGTTCAAATCGTGGGGCGCCCACGTTTCGAGCTTTTTGACCTTCCGTCATCCTACGCAGCGTTTGTGATAGATCAGTCTCCACCAGGGTCCTAAAATCCTCGTCCTGGATTAATGTAGGTCGACCAATGACCACGTGACATTAAATGCGACAAAATTTCGAAATATCTCAATATTTTTCTACAGTGTAAACGCCAACTACGGGAAATCGGTGTCATATTGGCCTACCCCGTATATTTTGTGCTTATATTTCTATAAAACTGTGTCACTATTATCGTTCGATATGCTTTAATATGATTTTGAGATTCTCATCTCCCTACGGAACACTGTTTCATTTTCAATGCCATCCTGATGTATATAAAGGTGACACATTTATGTGTTTATTTGTCGTAATCTTTGAGGCTTTGCCAGAATGAGTTCGTTTCAAATGCATTTATGAATCTTCTTCATTCATTTTTAGGTTTCTAAAATTATCGGCCTCCTGCGCGTGCATTTTTAATTCCCAATTTGAAATTACTTTCACGAAAGTTACTGGTGAAATGGCAGCGAGTAATATTGGAATGTTCATTTTCACGAGCTTGGTTACTTTTTAAATTGAATATCTGGTTAATTTTCAAAATCATACGCGCTGATTTCAGTTGACGGAAATATACGTTTCTATAACGGCTAACCCCTAGTTAATAAAAACGCAAGGTAACGAGATAAGGTAAGGTAAGAAAGTTGAAGCATTGAGAAAACACACTTGCGTTCTAGATAAAAAGTAAGGTATAAGGTAACGTCGGTAAGGCAAGGTAACGCAAGGTAACAAGTTGGCTATTTTCAACTTTCCGACCAATCAGAAAGCGCCATACTACGAACTTTGACGGATATATCCGAATGGTGTGAAGGTAATGTCACCAGATAAACTTAAACGTGACATTGTGAAATTTGGGTATTGTTCTTTTGATGATATAAAATATGCGTCTTCCATAATATTATAGAAATGAAAGTTATTATTTATTTCATATGAATGATTGCTGCTGTCAAGATTATGAAAAGTCAATATCTGTTTATGCAATCCTGCCAACTCAAAAATTACCAAAACCTATAATCACTATGGCAATTCTTCATACTTTACTTTTTCGTGAACGTTAAAAAATGGATACCTTACCTAACCTCTCTGCATTACCTTACTTTACCTTGCTTTATTATAAACTAGGGGTAAGTTCTGATCGAATTATACCATAACAAAATATGTAGTATATCTCTAAATGATTACTCATTAAAAAAATGAATGACAAACTCACAAGTTATTGAAAGTTGTGAATTTTGCGAGGTTTTTTAGCAGACTAGTGACAAGCCCTGGCTTCGCAAGGGTAGCATCTTCATATTTCAGCCAATTCACATAAAACTTGATAGTGATAAAAGGTTGCTTTCTTTAGTTTGACCCCGCTGCCTCGGCTTCGCATGGTTGGCATCGGCATATTCTAACCAATTTACATAAAACGTGGTGAAAATAGGTTGCTTTCTTTAGTTTGGCCCCGCTGCCTTTGCTTCGCATCGGCATATTTCAACCAATTCACATAAAACTTGATAGTGATAAAAGGTTGCTTTCTTTAGTTTGGCCCCGCTGCCTTTGCTTCGCATCGGCATATTTCAACCAATTCACATAAAACTTGATAGTGATAAAAGGTTGCTTTCTTTAGTTTGGCCCCGCTGCCTTTGCTTCGCATCGGCATATTTCAACCAATTCACATAAAACTTGATAGTGATAAAAGGTTGCTTTCTTTAGTTTGGCCCCGCTGCCTTTGCTTCGCATCGGCATATTTCAACCAATTCACATAAAACTTGATAGTGATAAAAGGTTGCTTTCTTTAGTTTGGCCCCGCTGCCTTTGCTTCGCATCGGCATATTTCAACCAATTCACATAAAACTTGATAGTGATAAAAGGTTGCTTTCTTTAGTTTGGCCCCGCTGCCTTTGCTTCGCATCGGCATATTTCAACCAATTCACATAAAACTTGATAGTGATAAAAGGTTGCTTTCTTTAGTTTGGCCCCGCTGCCTTTGCTTCGCATCGGCATATTTCAACCAATTCACATAAAACTTGATAGTGATAAAAGGTTGCTTTCTTTAGTTTGGCCCCGCTGCCTTTGCTTCGCATCGGCATATTTCAACCAATTCACATAAAACTTGATAGTGATAAAAGGTTGCTTTCTTTAGTTTGGCCCCGCTGCCTTTGCTTCGCATCGGCATATTTCAACCAATTCACATAAAACTTGATAGTGATAAAAGGTTGCTTTCTTTAGTTTGGCCCCGCTGCCTTTGCTTCGCATCGGCATATTTCAACCAATTCACATAAAACTTGATAGTGATAAAAGGTTGCTTTCTTTAGTTTGGCCCCGCTGCCTTTGCTTCGCATCGGCATATTTCAACCAATTCACATAAAACTTGATAGTGATAAAAGGTTGCTTTCTTTAGTTTGGCCCCGCTGCCTTTGCTTCGCATCGGCATATTTCAACCAATNTACTGATTTTCAACTGGGGGATGAAAATGCCCTTTTTTAAGATTTTGCTTATTCATTCAGTTGTAATTCATATACAGCCATTAGAAAGGACATATTTTTTCAGTTGAATATTTTTTGAAACTATACTAAAATCGGCCGAGCCATTTTTGAGATTGGCGTGTACACACACACAGGCAAACATTCTAAACTTCATTGTTTTGGGTTTCATTGCGTTAATAATGCCTTCAATAATATTTTTGCTCAAATGTCTTCCATGTACAGTCAGCGATCAGTTACAATGTAACTGTATTGTATTGATTAGATAGAGAATAGAAAGTTATTGCGAATAAATGAATGAATATTGAATAGGTAGAAAAACTCTTTACGATTGTATATTGTTGTTTCAGGTAATGCGATAGAGAATCATTGAAGTTAGCTTCGGAACATTATCATGAAAATGGTTTTATCTCAACGCCAGCGAGAAGAGCTGTAAGTATTTTTTAAATTCCAATCGTACGAGATATTGCATCGCCAACTTGTTTGATCGGATCGATACAACCTAACGAATCGAAGCCGCAAAAATCGTTCGGGAATTCTTTTGTTTGGTTTCTTGAAACCACGCGAATAAGATAGATAAATGCCGGGGTCACGTTACACTCTCTAGGTTATGTGCTTATTTATGGAAATAATCCTTTTGTTTGTATATGTAAAATGAGCTGCTAGATACCAGTATGCGATCAGAATGTTTGTTCCACTACCTCATAAAATGGTTTGTAGTGTCATTTTACCGAATGAATGCAGTTGTGCAGTTGACACTGAAATCGACGAATGCTTCATCGACATTTTTGAGTGACCCTGTATGATTGGCTTTGTTGATATTTCGAACTTTTAATATATATATATATATATATATATATATATATATATATATATATATATATATATATATATATATATATATATATATATATATATATATATATATATATATATATATATATATATATATATATATATATATATATATATATATATATATATATATATATATATATATATATATATATATATATATATATATATATATATATATATATATATATATATATATATATATATATATATATATATATATATATATATATATATATATATATATATATATATATATATATATATATATATATATATATATATATATATATATATATATATATATATATATATATATATATATATATATATATATATATATATATATATATATATATATATATATATATATATATATATATATATATATATATATATATATATATATATATATATATATATATATATATATATATATATATATATATATATATATATATATATATATATATATATATATATATATATATATATATATATATATATATATATATATATATATATATATATATATATATATATATATATATATATATATATATATATATATATATATATATATATATATATATATATATATATATATATATATATATATATATATATATATATATATATATATATATATATATATATATATATATATATATATATATATATATATATATATANAAAAGAACAGAAATAATATCATATAACTTTGTAGATATCAAAATGATATGAATGTGATATCTTCAAGGTTACACATTACTTCTAGTTGATACCATTTTTTGCATATGTTTCTTTCTATTTCTGCTTGTGATTTTGACATATGTTCTTCTTGACGCATTCAGTAGCTGAACTATTTCATTAAGGAAGTCATGAGTTTTGTGTCAACCTGTAATAAGTTTTATGTTTTGGTCAATATAATTTGTAGGAACTCTATTTCTGATACGGTAACATCTGTGGTCTTTTTTAAATTTGTGTTATCTTATTACATTTTTATAAACTCATTGAATGGACACGTGATAAACGAATTACCAATTTGAGTAAATTTTCAGAATTGTCAAATATATTTCCAAGACTTGAGTTTGTAACATTTTTTTTCAAAATGTAACATATAGTGTGTAAAAGTCAAATGGAATAAATTCATTATATCGGTTACTGTACATATTTGAAAAAAATCCCGAAACACGTCAAATGTAAATTATAATTTGATATTCTTCAACGTAAAAATGCCACCCCTACCTTCAACCCCTTTCGAATCACAACTACAACCCCTAATTTTCAACTACAACCACTAATTTTTAAAATGGGAAGTATAGGTTTGTGATATATCGTTTGAAAGGTCTCTTCATTCTCGATTCAAAATTGTTATCTCTTTCAAGTTTATTGCAACAATTGAGATAAAATAAATTAAAATCATGTGGTTACCGAAGTTCGATAAAATACACTCAAAAGCTAAAATGTAATGCGAAACGTAATGGATATTAATGAAGTTGATGTTCAAAATGTTCACGGCGAACGTCTTGGCAACATCCTAACCTCCAATAAAACTGTCTTCTACCATTATATTTAACATATCAGGCGTGACCGACCTAATCGCAAGTGTTATTCGTTCTTTTGAGTCATTCAAATTTGAAGGTTTAGTTTTGTACACATTGCTCTTTACATATCCCAATAATCTAATGATGAAAGATCAGGTGATCGCGCTGGCCATTCAATCGATCCTCGCCTCCCTATCTATCGATTGGGAAATGTTGTATCGAGGTATTGCCGGGCATTAACTTGGTAATGGGGTGGTGCTCCATTCTGCTGAAAGCATCTCGTATCCACTGGAACTTGAGGGGTTTCCTGGATCAGGATATAAATTTGCTAAACTTGGAATGACATCATTTTGAAGTAGTGCCAAATAGTTATCGCCATTCAAGTTGCCCTTAATGAAAAAAGGACCAATAATATGGTTTCCTACAATCTCTGCCCAAACATTAACCTTTTGAGGGTATTGCGTGTGTTCTACTCTCATCCAGTGATGATTTTCCGTTGACCAGTAGCGGCAATTTTGCCGATTAGCATGACCGTTAAGAGACAAAGTACATTCATCAGAAAACATAACGTCGTCTAATTAGATGATAATATTGTTATCCAACATGTTCATCATTTGCTCACAAAAATAAGTTCTATCAAAATCGCCTTCCATGAGCTCCTGAGTAGGTGTCATTTTATAGATACATTTTATTTTCTTTTAATATACTTGTAATGCACTGTTTGGAACCTTTTATGTACTATCGATGTATGGCTAACTAACATTGAATGTAGTGGATGCCTGTCTCCTCGATGTATGTGGGTTTTCCTCAAACTCAAGCATCACATCTAATTTGAGTTCATCACTCATTGCATTGGCAGCTGCTTTTTTTATCTGCTCCACATGACCAAGCTCGCGAAACTGCTTCTATATTTTGCTTATTGTTCCTTGAGATATGGGCGATGAATTAGGAAATTTCTCATGAAATAGGTTTTATGTCCGTAACCAATCATTTGTAAAACTGTTACTTTATGCATTTCCGTTAAACTAACCATTTGTCAGACTTGAAGTTAACTAACGATATATCACAAGCCTATACTCACCATTTAAAAAATTGGGGTTTGTACCTGTCATTCGACGGGGGTTGAAGGTGGGGTAGTATTTTTCCGTTGAAATATGTCAAATTATAATTTAAATTTGACGTGTTTCGGAATTTTGTTAAAATATGTACCGTAAC